CACAGCTTTTCTCCTTTGGATCTACTAAGGAGCTAGATCATGTTCATTTCTGACCTACCTTCTGCCCATGCTCAGGAAAGGCTTAGCATGCTTGATTTGACACTTGGCAGGATCCCAAAGACGGATGACTGTAACAGAGGGACTCTCTGTGTCCTTGAGCTGGTGAGACTCAGCTGCAACCGCAGAACTTGGGAGCTCTTCATTTACCTATTTCATGGTGCTCCTTTCACTGTCACCCCTGTTCTTTACCATCCCTAGCATTACCTTTGCAACATGCCATCCACGCAAAAGATCATTATTATAATTCTCAGCTATATGCCCAAACTTGTTGGTAGATGAGGTGCTTTGCAAGCATTCTCGCAGGATGCCCTTTCCTGCTAGGAACATGCTCATAGGGGGAATGGGGCCTTTTGATGGCTTGTTTGCTTTTAGTGGAGCTGGGGAAAACCAGATGGTTTAAAGGGCATGGTCAAGGGGCATGTGCAAAGCACCGCCACTCTGAGGAAGGTGAAAGCTCAGAACAGGATACACCGCTCACTCTTCTGAACCCCAGGGCATGAGCTCATGTTGTCAACCCTCGAATTTCACCATGGTTTGGGTTGGCTGCTTTCCCAACAGGCCATGTTGGCATCTGGTACAACACGTAGGTGGCTTTGGGCTCTGTATCCGTTTCCTTGGGCTCCCATAATAAAGTTCCACAAACTCGGGGGGCTTCAAACAACGTAATTGTATTCTTTCTTGGTTTTGCAGGCTAGAGATCCCAAATTAAGGTGTTGGCAGGGCCATGTGCCCACTTGATCCTCTTAGTTAGCATCTCTTCTAGCCTCTTCTTAGCTTCTGGTGGTTGGTTGCCCGTTGGTGTCCCCTGGCTTGCAGCTGCATTACTCTAGCCACCGCCTTTATATCATGTGGCTCCTCCTGGGGTGTGTCTGTGGGTTAAGGGCCCACCGTACCCCAGTATGACCTCATCTTTACTAATTACATCTTCAGTTTCAAAAATAAGTTATTTTCTGAGGTCATGGTGATTAGGACTGGAGGGAGACACCCATAACAGAGCCCCTTCAGTCAAGATTCAGTGCTAGCTACTTTTAAGTGGTAGGGAAGAGGGTGGTCTGGGGAGAGGGACAAAAATGGCCCGAATCACTTATCAGGAGGGCGGCTGTCAGGACAAGACAAGGCAGCAGGCGCCTGGTCCATTTACACTTCATCCTCTCAGATGATGTTTCCCATTTTGACAGGTCATGTGGAGGACAGGGAGCCTCCTTCAATATTTCAGGGCTTGTGACAGTTTAATTGTTCAAAAGTCTCATATTTTGAGAAGTTCTAGGAGGGAGAAATCTTAATTGGCTGAGTCTGACTCCAACTGTAAGTGGAAATACACTTTTATTCATATGTGGTTATATTTGCATCCAGAGTGTGGTAGGTTTGGTAGGTAGACGAAGGGTTTTCCCCAGATGTCCACAGCCTAACCTCTGGAGCCTATGAATGTTACCTTATATGGCAGAGACTTTTTTTTGCAGATGCTACTGTGTTAAAGATACGAGGTAGATTATCCTGGCTTATCTGGGTGGCTCAGACATAAAGCATCTGCCTGCAAAGTGGGAGTCCTGGGTTTGAGCCCTGGGCTGGGGAGACCCCCTGGAGGAGGGCATGGCAACCCACTCCAGCATTCTTGCCTGCAGAATCCCAAGGGTGGAGGATTCCCACCTCCAGGGAATCCGCCAGGATTCAGTCCTGGCGGGCTACCGTCCATGGGGGCATCAAAGAGTCGGAGGCCGCTGAGCGGCCGAGTCCTGCAAGCACAGTGTCCTCATGAGAGGGAGGCAGAGGGAGATCACAGCAGAGGAGGAAAGGTGAGGGATGCGGGGCTCAGAGGGAGTAAAGAAGGAATTCATAGGGCCTGGACTCCATCTCAGGCTTGTCCGTGCTGGTCATGCGGCCATCTCTCCAGTGGACTCTGATAAGAACCCCCCTCTGGGCAGGGGAATCTTGAAGAGCGCCTGTGGGAATGACAATGGAAGGATAAGACCCCCCTTCTGGGCAGGGAAGACACTAATCACCCCTGCCTCCGGACAGTATCTATGGAATGTAACCACAGGCTTATCGGTTATTAACTGGTTGGAATGTAACCACAGGCTTATTGATTATTAACTGTTTGAACACATAACACGTGAATGATGGGGTTATTGTGATTGTATTTACCTTTCCTTTGTAAGCCTCAAGGGATTTGGGCTGGTGGGTTTGGACACGTACACATGGGGTATAAAAGATTTTCACAAAAGCTGGTCGGGGCCCTTGGCTAAGAGGAGACTCTGCCTTGGGCCCGCTGGTGTAATAAACTGCACTCCACTATCTGCATTGTCCTTCTGAGTGAGTTTGTTCCCTGGAAGGCGTGGCTATAACAGGAGAAGATGTTGGTAAGCTGGCTTTGAAGACGGATGAAGGGGCCATGGGCTCCCAGGAAAAGGCAAAGAAACAGATACTCCCTTAAACCTTCTGGAGGGAACACAGCCCCTCCACCTTGGTTTAGCCCCTGAAGACTAACTCTGGAATTCTGACCTCCATAATGGGAGGAGAATAAACTTGTTACTGTAAACCACCCAGTATGTGTTTGCTTTGTTAAAGCGGACATAAAAAAATTACACAGAATATGAGTCCTTGTATTTAAATTAAAAAAAATGACTCTCTACATGAACACATAAAGACATCGTCTTGAAGAAAATAACAGTAATATGGTAACACTGGCTAACACTGATACAAGAAATATGAGTGACTTTGTCATTACTATGATTTTCTGAATTTTCCAAGATTTCCAGAAAACACACCCCATTTAAATTTTTTTAAAGTTCACTGTATTATAAACGGAGAGCTTCAGTGACGCCCTTTAAAACAGCATACAATACGATCTTGGTTACATGACACTGTATTTTCTCTGCACATTTTAAAAACTCTTTACAGCAGGCAGGACCACCCTGAATGTGAGCTGTAGCTGCGTCCCCTACTATCCTTTTCTCTATCATTTCTTCTGGTTTTGCTTTTGTCTCTATTCTTTAACTCCTTGCCTGGCCTTTCTCTGTTGCCTACTGAACACATTCGAGTTGTTCCAGTCTTTGTTAAACCTCTTGAGAATCTCTTAATCAATCACTCCCTTTTGAAATGTTTCTTTGTCTTTTACTGTATAATTTGTGTATTTCACATACACTCTCCTTACAGACAACAGGCATACACTTCAAAACACTCCTGTATGACTGATGTATTACCTGTTATCTCTGGTGTCTTTCCAACATCTACACCAGGGCCCAATGTGCAAGACAGGGTGACTTCCTTTCTCTCTCCTACCCCCATGTATTATCAGTCACCACAATGACTAATTTCACCTCCTATTCCTTCCTCTAGCCCTATCCCATCTCTGGTTTCAAGTCCTCAGTCCGTCTTATCTGAATATCCCAACAGTGTGACCCTACCCCATCCTCCACGCCTCAAGCAGGACCCATATTTACTGTAATCCCGGCCATGCTACCGCCCTTGAGGCCCTTCAGTTACGGTGCACACCCTTCACTGTGGCACCCAGCACCCCCATGAATGGTCCCAACCCAGACTCTTCTTCCACCAGTTCCACAGCTCCTTACCTTTCATGACCCATCACTTTCATAACTTGTTCTGTTTCCTCAGTCATCTCTGGGCCTCCCTCTCCTCCTCACTTTCTCTGGCTGGAAAACCATCCCCCTCCACTTTACTGGGCTAATTCACAGCCACTTTGGTGCATTCATCTAGGCATCTTCTCCTCTAAGAGGTTCCCCCAGTCCTCAGTGGTCTGTAGTTGTTGGGTAAAGGTTGCTGCTTTGACAGGTTATATGGACGTTAACTGTTTATGTGCCAGCTTTCCCACTAGCCCTTAAGCTCTTTAAGGGTTGGGACCATCTCTCAAGTCATTTTGGTGTTCCTAGCACCTAACACAGTGCCTGGCAAGTACCAGGCACTCAAATCAGTGTTAATTAATTAAAATGACTGGTAAAAAACACTTTTGTTGCTAGGTTATATCCATAATCTACAAAACATTTAAAGCCCTTTTCACTGACCACCATTGCCTTAATTATAAATTTTGGTAGCAGAGGTAACTGAATGAAATTCTTATAAAGAGAAAGACCTCCCCTCCGGGGGTTACACATTCTATTTTTACATTAAAACTTAACCTGTTTCTTTCAGTAGGGCCTATTTTGGCGGGGGCGGGGGAGAGTCTTTGATCTCTGCCATCCTACTATCTAGGGCGGAAATGAAGTGGCCCCAGCACCTATAAGTTCTGCACTTGTACATACAGCTGTTTGGTAGTTCGACTTAGCTAGATTTGACCTAAAACTAGGCTTGCAGAGACATTACTGTCCTATTTCCCATCGACTAGTCAATGCTTCGGGATCTGGGATCTCTTAAATGACGCCCCCCACCCCCCACCCCAGAGCGGAGCCCCTCTGAAAGGGAACCTACAGGGAACACCTGGATAAACCTGGGACCTAGTGTCGTTCTCAACTTCCCCAGCTGCGTGCCCCGCCTGTGGGTCTGAAGGCCCTGGAGCAGCCCCCGGGCACAGCCGAAGCCAACAGCTTCCCTCGCGAGGCCACCTGCTCCCAAAAGACGGTCGTGAACCCCGCCACCGCCTGCCGGCCCCCGCTGCAGAGTTCGCCCAGCTGGACAGCGCAGCCGGGGTCACGTGCGCGGGGCCAGTCCGCCGCCCCCAGACCCGGGCCCGCCCCGCAGCAGGGCAGAGGCCGTCCGGATCACGCGCGCCCCGGCGGCCCCGGCCAGGCCCAGCCAATGGGCTGGCAGCACCCGCATGACCCGCGCCGGCAGGAGGGCGTGGGGAGGCAGGCCGGGCGCGCACGCTGCCGGGCTGTACCGCCGCCCTCGCCGCCGTCGGGACGGGAAGTGAGCTGCCCAGGTCCGTAGCGCCGGCGAGCCAGTGAGAGCGTCCTGCAGCCCGCAGCTGCCGGCACCCAGGGCGAAGCATGGCGGCCGCCAAGGTAAGCGTCGGCTGGGGGCCGCGATGGGCCCTGGTTCACGTGCTCGGTTGGTGCAACAGAGAAAGGAAACAGAAAGGGGCGCACGGCGGCTGTTCCACCTTGCAGCAGCGGGAGGAGGGAGGCAGCCGTCCCTCCCGGGCCACACAAGCGGCGATTGCGGGGCCCAGGGCCCGGGGGCCCGACCTTGCAGCGGAAACTTTGCCGGCTGGACCCTCCCACTTGGCCGGGACTGAGAGTGGGTGCCTGGCGGGCGCGCGGCGGGCTGAGCCAAGGCCGGTGAAGAGGAGCGGGCGCGATGGCGTCCCGGGGTGGGAGAGGGCCCCGGGCCAGCAGGGCCCCTCGGCCACCCCAGCTAGCTCCTGCTCGTGACCCCGGTTGTTGTTGACCCGAGCTGCTTCCCAGGGCCACCGCCGGCGCCAAAGCCTGATCCTATTAGGTTTCAAAGGCTCCGCCCTCCCGCGGGTGGGGAAGTCACCTTGACTTCCGTTCTGGAGACTGTTGGAGCTGGCCAGCGCGCCTGTGCGTAAAAACTCCAGGGTACCTCCCCGCCCCACGCCCCCACTTCTCATCCTTCTCCCTGCTCTGAGCATCTGACAACACTTAGCACACCGGCCTCTGAGCGTTTGAGAGGCTTCTTTATAGAAATGACAAAACAGATTGTCCTGGGAGCCTGTAACTCCTGTGAAGTTCTACTTAAAAGGAGGTCTGCGTAATGGGACTCATTCACTAGCCCAGAGGAAAGGCAGCTCCGACAGCTTGACCTTTCCTCTTTCACCGTTTCTTGAAACCTGGGCACCATTTCAGTCTCTTTGGACTCCATTTCAACTTTTTTTGGCAGAATACCATATTTAGTCCCAATCACTTGACTCAATGGAATTTATTGCTTTTAATTTTAAGTTCATGAAGGCAACCCTTTAATCAAGCCTATACAACTTCCTAGCTCATTTTAAGTGTCGTGAACTTAAATATACCCAACATTTCAGACATTTGTCCTTAATCAAAACTCTGTGATAACCCTCAAGAGGAAAACATGGCCAACACATCATATTCCTATTTATTCGCGCAAACTAATCACATTTGCAATGGAAATTGTAAGCAGACAAATATATTTAAATGCTGTTCTATGACTTAAGTTTCTCCAGTCCTCCCAAAATCTGCAGGTTTTTCCATGTTTCTAGAGTATGTGGCCTAAGTGGCCCTTTTCTTTTTTGTAATTATTCCAGGTTCCATGCTAAGAAGGGCACTCTGAGTATAACATGAGCAGACACATGTTCATATACAACAGTTTTAGGCAGATTGTCTGAGAATCACTGGAATTCATTTTTGGAGCCTACATTTACCCATTTGCAACCTAACAACTTGTGACCTTTTCTTTGCATTAAATTTACATGCAATCAGAGTACAAGGGAACAATTATGTTCCCTTCAGGTGACTTCTTTCAGGACAGTGGGTGGGAGTAGATACCCATACTTTACTGTTTTTACATCTGTAGATGAATTAAATAATTTTACTTAATTTGGAGATAGAGTGAGGAACTTAAATGGAGGAGTAGGCATGTAAGTGGAGTATAATACTAACTAGTATGAAATAAAATAAGTGACCTGGAAACAGGCTTAACTTTTGGGTTGTATTTTTATTAAACTGTCACATCATATCAATAAGGGCAGTTGAATTTTAGCCAAGTAGTGAGAGTCAGGGAAATGAGACATTTCATTTTTACTCTTTGGGAACTTGTGTTTTTATTTATTTATTCATCTAAACTTGCCTCTTTCCAGGATTTCTTATGGCTGACATCATCTATACATATATTTATAAACCAACAAGACATGTCAAAATCAAGTCAGAGTAGATGAGAAAAACAGAAAGAAGGCAAAGTGAGATGAAACAAGTTCTAAGGTTAATGGACAATAAGGATGTAGGTACTTGCTAGAGGTGACTGAACCTTCTAGCAGCCAAAACAAAGAGGAAGTGATCAGTGAGGTCAGTTACTTGGGAGAGAGGTCCTCTTTTTCTGCTCTCTGAGGCAGTTTCTCCCCATCTCTTTTTATAAGCAGTGCGCAAACTGCGTTCATAACTACCTCATAACCACAGATACAAGTGTGTGGATCCCATAAGGCCATTTCTTACAGTGTCTCTCATTCTAGCGCAAGGGCGGTGCAGTAAATGTAGTCTTTGTGTGTGTGTGTGAGTCGCTCAGTCGTGGCTGACTCTGCAACCCCATGGACTGTAGCCCGCCAGGCTCCTCTGTCATGGGATTCTCCAGGCAAGGATACTGGAGTGGGTTCCCATTCCCTTCTCCAGGAGATCTTCCCAACCCAGGCATCGAACCCGCGTCTCCTGCATTGCAGGCAGACTCTTTACCATCTGAGCGACTTGGGAGGCCTAAATGTAGTCTTCAAAGGTTTCCAGATGAGCTGTGCTGGTCCACGTTAGTTCAGGAGTGCCCCTTACTTATTGCCTTTGGACGCTCCCTGATTTTGTTCACTGCTAGGCAGTGTTGTGCGGCCTGAGTTCAACGCCATGCTCTTTGCTTTTTTGTGGAGCATAGATATTCCATATTGAACACAAATCCATAGACTCAGCAATCTTATCTAGGGATAGGGTTGACATCCCCTCTTAAAACTTGAGGAGCCTGACTAGGGAGAGAATCTCATCTCAGTGGAGTGTCTAAGAAATTGGGCCCAGAATCTGAAACTCAATACTTGTAGATGAATTCCAGCACTCACTGTGGTGAATCATTTGCATATTTAAGCAAATTTGATATTTTCTGGATGAATTTAGCCACACCCATCAATTTGTTGATCTCTTGACCACTTACTTATTCTTAATTTTTTTGGTTATTGGCCCAAGTAAGAATAGTGTCATAACAAGAGTTAATAGGAGCATCAGAGAAGGAGCCTGTTTCCCTCCAGGGTGGGGGGTGGAGAGGGGAGGTCTTCTCCAGGGTAGTGGTGGTTCAGGAGGAGTGGTTGGAGAAGAGGGAAGATCACATCAGGGACAGGAAAGAGCAGCTGAAAGAGAGGTGAGAGCACCTGTGCATTTAGGGGGTAACAGGTAATAAAATGAGTAGCTGACACCGTTTACTAGATGTGAGATTCAGTTCTTTAAAAAAAAAAATCATTATTTATTTTTGTCTGTACTGGGTCTTTGTTGCTGCCCTTGGGCTTTCTCTAGTTGCCGTGAACGGGGGCTACTTTTCGAGATTCACGGGCTTCTCACTGCACTGGCTTCTCTTGTTGCAGGGCATGGGCGCTAGGGCGTGTGGGTTTTAGTTGTGGTGTGAGGGTTTAGTTGCTGTGAGATGTGTAGGATTCCTGCACCAGGGATGGAAGCTGTGTCTCCTGCATTGGCAGGTTGGATTCTTAACCACAAGAGAAGCCCAAGATTCAGTATTAAGGGAGGTAATAATGAAAAGCATTATTAAATGAGTCAATAAGACTTAATGATAAGCATTAACAAGACTGTTAATATGCATTAATGGGCTTCCCTGGTAGCTCAGCTGGTAGAGAATCCGCCTGCAATGCAGGAGACCCCTGTTCAATTCCTGGGTTGGGAGGATCCTCTGGAGAAGAGATAGGCTACCAACTCCAATATTCTTGGGCTTCCCTTGTGGCTCAGTCGGTAAAGAATCTGCCCACACTTCGGGAGATCTGGGTTCCATCCCTGGGTTGGGAAGATCCCCTGGAGGAGGGCATGGCAACCCACTCCAGTATTCTTGCCTGGAGAATCCCTTGGACAGAGGAGCCAGGAGGGCTATAGTCCACGAGGTTGCAATGAGTCAGACACGACTGAGCGACTAAGCACAAGACCTATTATATAAGCATTAATAAAATTGTTAAAGACCTTTAACATTCTTATATGAGTTATAAACTATCATTTCTGGTTTATAGACGAACACTCTGGACACCAAGGGGTGATATAAGTGGCCTAAGACCTGAGAATTAAAAAGGAGCTGGGGTTCAGATCAGCCAGCCTGACTCCAGAGTCTGTGCTCTTAGCCTGTCCACCAGATTGTCTGCCTGGTAGTTTAGCATACTGGAGAGTAGAGTTTATGGGCAGGGGAGATGACTTGGGAGGGGAAATTAGATGCCTCTTTTTTCTTCAGACTTTTATTTTGGTCTTGTAACTGTTAAACCATACTTTTATTTTTGAGAACCACTTCCACAGTGCTTACTGTGTGCCAGGCACTTTCCCAAGCACTTTACAAATAATAATTCCATTATTCTTCATAATACCAAGCAGTAGCTGTGGTCTGCTTTTGTCCTCATTTTATAGGTGAGAAAACTGAGTTGCAGAGAGGTTAAGTAGTTTCCTCATGGTTGTAGAGAGAATAAGCACTGCAGCTTGGATTTGAAACCTTACATTCTGTGCTCAGGGTCTCTGCCTCACCTTCCTAGGCCTTAAAAAGAGTTCCATTTGCATATGAGAATTCACATACTAACAGTTATGGACATATGTATCTTCCCAATCCAGTGGTTTGTATCTATAGAATGCATTGGCACTCCGTATATATTTGATGGGTTTCCCAGGCGGTGCTAGTGGTAAAGAACCCGCCTGCCAATGCAGGAGACAAAAAAGATGGGGCTTCGATACCAGTGTTGGGAAGATCACCCGGAGGAGGGCATGGCAACCCACTCCAGCATTCTTGCCTGGAGAATCCCGTGGACAGAGGAGCCTGGCAGGCTACAGGCCAGTTGCAAAGAGTTGGACACGACTGAAGTGAGTTAGCATGCGTGCACACACATATGCTTGATTTGTAAGTGGCTTTCGAACAAGATTGCACAGGTCAGAAACTGTCATGTGCCTTTTTTAAAAACAGCTTTGCTGAGACATAGGTCACGTGCCGTACAATCACCCGTGTAAAGTGTACGTGTCAGTGGTGTTTTGCATGTTCATGGAGTTGCACGGCTATCACCTCTTCATTTACCAGGTAGACATTTTAATCCATTGTTCACTAGTTAGGACTTAGGCTATATATTTGACCTCCGTGTTTTTCATGC